TTTTCCTCTAAGAGTTTTATATCATCAGGTCTTACATTTAGGTCTTTAATCCATTTTGAATTTATTTTTTTGTGTATGGTGTTAATGTTCTAATTTCATTCTTCTACATGTAACTGTCCAGTCTTCCCAGCACCACTTATTGAAGAGGATGTCTTTCCTCCACTGTATAGTCTTGCCTCCTTTGTTGTAGATTGATTGACCATAGGTGCATGGGTTTATTTCTAGGCTTTCTATCCTGTTCCATTGATCTATATTTCTGTTTTTCTGTCAGTACCATACTGTTTTGATGACTGTAGCTTTGTAGGATAGTCTGAAGTCAGGGAGCCTGATTTTCCTCCAGCTCCGTTTTTCTTTCTCAATTGCTTTGGCTATTCGGGGTCTTTTGTGTCCCATACAAATTGTGAAATTATTTGATCTGGTTCTGTGAAAAATGCCATTTGTAATTTGATATGGATTGCACTAAATCTTTAGATTGCCTTGGAAAGTATAGTCATTTTTGACAATATTGATTCTTCCAATCCAAAAACATGGTCCATCTGTTTGTGTCATCTTCTATTTCTTTCATTAGTATCTTATAGTTTTCTGAGTACAGGTCTTCTGCCTCCTTAGGTAGGTTTACTCCTAGGTATTTTATTCTTTTGATGCAATGGCCAATGGGATTGTTTTCTTAATTTCTCCTTCTTGTCTTTTATTGTTAGTGTATAAGAATGCAAGAGATTTCTGTGTATTAATTTTGTAACCTGCAATTTAACCAGATTCATTGATGAGCTCTCGTAGTCTTCTGGTAGCATCTTTAGGATTTTCTATGTATAGTATCATGTCATCGGCTAACAGTGACAATTTTATTTCTTCTTTTCCAATTTGCATTCCTTTTATTTTCTTTTCCTTCTCTGATTGCTGTAGCTGGGACTTCCAAAATACTATGTTGAATAGAAGTGGCCAGAGTAGACATCCTTGTCTTGTTCCTGATCTTAGAGGAAATGCTTTCAGCTTTTCATGATTGAGTATGATGTTAGCTGTAGGTTTGTCATATACGGCCTTTATTATGTTGAGGTACATTCCCTCTATGCCCACTTTTTGGAGAGTTTTTATCATAACTGGGTTTTGAATTTTGTCAAAAGCTTTTTCTGCATCTGTTGAGATGATCATATGGTTTTTATTCTTCAGTTTGTTAATATGGTGTATCACATTGATTGATTAGCATATATTGAAGAATCCTTGCATCCCTGGGATAATCCCACTTGATTATGGTGTATGATCCTTTTAATGTGTTGTTGGATTCTGTTTGCTAGTATTTTGTTGCAGATTTTTGCATCTATGTTCATCAGTGATATTCACCTGTAATTTTCTTTTTTGTGTGATATCTTTGTCTGGTTTTGGTATCAGGGTGATGGTGGCCAAGCAGAATGAGCTTGGGAGTGTTCCTTCCTCTGCAGTTTTTTGGAAGAGTTACAGAAAGACAGGTGTTAGCTCTTCTCTAAAAGTTTGATAGAATTCACCTGTGAAGCCACCTGGTTCTGGACTTTTTTGATTGTTGGGAGTTTTTTAATCACAGTTTCAATTTCAGTACTTGTGATTGGTCTATTCATATTTTCTGTTTCTTCCTGGTTCAGTCTTAGAAGATTGTTACCTTCTTAAGAATTTGTCCAGGGAACTTCCCTGGTGGTCCAGTGGTGAAGACTCCATGCTTCCAATGCAGCGGGGTACAGGTTCGATCCCTGGTCAGGGAACTAAGAGCCCACATGATGTGGGGCATGGCCAAAACTTTTTTAAAAAGAGAGAAAAAAAATTTGTCCAGTTCTTCTAGATTGTCCATTTTATTGGCATATAGTTACTTGTAGCAGTCACTTATTATCTATTGTATATCTGTGGTGTCTGTTGTAACCTCTCCTTTTTCATTTCTAATTTTATTGATTTGAGCTCTCTCCCTTTTCTTGGTGAATCTGGCTAAAGGTTTATCAATTTTATCTTTTCAGAGAACCAGCTTTTAGTTTCATTGATTTTTTCATTGTTTTCTTTGTTTCTATTTATTTCTCCTCTTTGTTTCTATTTATTTCTGCTCTGATTTTTATTTCTTTCTTTCTACTAACTTTGGGTTTTGTTTATTCTTCTCTAGTTGCTTTATGTGTAAGGTTAGGTGGTTTATTTGTTTCCTGACATAAGATTGTATTGCTATATAAACTTCCCTCTTAGAACTGCTTTTGCTGCGTTCCATAGGTTTTGGATCGTTGTGCTTTTACTTTCATTTTTCTCTAGGTATTTTTTGATTTTCTCTTTGATTTCTTCAGTGATCCATTGATTGTTTAGTAGCATATTGTTTAGCCTCCGTGTGTTTGTGTTTTTTAAGGGTTTTTTCTTGTAGTTTATTTCTAATCTAATAGCGTTGTGGTTGGAATGGATGCTTGATATGATTTCAGTTTTCCAAAATTTACTGAGGTTTGCTTTGTGGCCCAGCATGGATCAGTCCTGGAGAATGATCCACGTGCACTCGGAAAGAATGTGTATTCTGCTGCTTTTGGATGGAATGCTCTATAAATATCAATTAAGTCCATCTGGTCTAATGTGTTATTTAAGGCATTTGTTTCCTTATTGATTTTCTGTCTGATCTGTCCATTGATGACAGTGGGGTATGAAAATTCCCCCACTATTATTGTGTTACTGTTGATTTCTTCTTTTATGGCTGTTCCTATTTGCCTTATATACTGAGGTGCTCCTATGTTGGGTGCATATATATTTACACTTGTTATATCTTCTTGGATTGATCCCTTGATCATTATGTAGTGTCCTTCCTTATCGTTTGTAAGTCTTTATTTTAAAGTCTATTTTGTCTGAGTATTGTTACTCCAGCTTTCTTTTGATTCCCATATGCATAGAATACCTTTTTCCATCTCCTCACTTTCAGTCTGTTTGTGTCCCTAGGTCTGAAGTGGGTCTCTTGTAGACAGCTTATATACAGGTCTTGTTTTTGTATCCATTCAGCCAGTCTATGTCTTTTGGTTGGAGCATTTAATCCATTTACATTTAAGGTAATTATCGATATGTGTGTTCTTATGGCCATTTTGTTAATTGTGTTGGATTTGTTTTTGTAGGTCTTTTTTTCTCCCCTTCTTTTGTTCTTTTGTGATTTGGTGACTATCTTTAATGTTGTGTTTGGATCCCTTTTTCTTTTTCTGTGTGTGTGTATCTATCATAGATTTTCGGTTTGCGGTTACCATGAGGTTTTGATATAGCACTCTCTATATAAATAAGATTGTTTTAAGTTGCTGGTCTTTTAATATCAAATGCATTTTTAATATCCTGCATTTGTACTCTTCTCATGATTGCTGGTTTTGATATCATATTTGTGTTGGATGATTTCCTACCTTTACTGTGTGTTTGCCTTTACCGGTGAGCTTTTCCATTTGTGGTTTTCTTGTTTCTAGTTGTAGTCTTTTTTTTTTTTTTTCTGCCTTGATAAGTTCCTTTAGCATTTGTTGCAAAGCTGGTCTGACAGTGCTGAATTCTTTTAGCTTTTGCTTGTCTGTAAAGCTTTTGATTTCTCTGTCGAATCTGAATGAGAGCCTTGCTGGCTGTTCTTGGTTGTAGGTTCTTCCCTTTCATCAGTTTGAATATAATCATGCCACTCCCTTCTGTCCTGCAGAGTTTCTGCTGATAAATCAGCTTGTAGCCTTATGGGTATTGCCTTGTATGTTATTTGTTGCTTTTCACTTGTTTCAATATTTTATCTTTGATTTCCACCATTCTGTCTTCTAGCTCACTTATCCATTCTTCTGCCTCATTCTGCTACTGATTTCTTCTAGTGTATTTTTCCTCTCAGTTATTGTATTGTTCATCTCTGTTTGTTCTTTAGTAGATCTTCTAGCTCTTTATTATACATTTCTTGTATCTTCTTGTTCTGTGCCTCTATTCTTTTGCCAAGACTTTGGATCATCTTTACTATCATTACTCTGAATTCTTTTTTGGGGTAGATTGCCTATCTTCACTTCCTTTAGTTGTTCTTCTGGGCTTTTTTCTTGATCCTTTGTATGGGAATTTTCCTCTGTCATTGTGTCTTTCTGTGATTGCAGTTTCCACTCCACAAGGTGCAGGGTTGTAGTTCCTCTTGTTCCTGCTGTCTGCCCCCTGGTGGATGAGGCTGGTCTAAGAGGCTTGTGCAGGCTTCCTGGTGGGAGGAACTGGGTCTTGTCCCTCTGGTGGTCAGGGCCATGTCAAGGGGTGTGTCTGGCAGGCAGCTATGGGCTCAGGAAGACTTTAGGCAGCCCATCTGCTGATGGGCTGTCTTCCCATCCTGTTGGTTGTTTGGCCTGAGGCTTCCCCATACTGGAGCCTGCAGCCTGTTGAGTGGGGCCAGGTCTTGGTGAGAAAGTGGGGGCCTCCAGGAGGGCTCACACCGAGTACTCCCCAGAACTACCACCACCACCAGTGTCTTTGTCCCCACAGTGAGCCAGAGCCGCCCCCCCCTTGCCTCCACAGGAGACCCTCCAATACCAGCAGGTAGGTCTGGTCCAGGATCCTGTGGGGCCACTGCTTTTTCCACTGGATCCTGGTGCACATGAGACCTTGTGTACACCCTTCCAAGAGTGGAGTTTCTTTTTCTGCCTGTCCTGTCGAATTCCTGTGATCACACCCCACTGGCCTTCAAAGCCAGATGCTCTGGGGGCTCCTCCTCCTGATGCCAGACCCCCAGGCTGGGGGTTCTGGTGTAGGGCTCATGACTTTCACTCCTGTGGGAGAACCTCTGCGAGATAATTATTTTCTAGTTTGTGGGTCACCCACCTGGCAGATATGGGAGTTGATTTTATTGCAAGTGCACCCTTTCTACCGTCTCATTGTGGCTTCTTCGTTTTTGCGTGTAAGATATCTTTTTTGGTAGCTTCCAGTGTTTTTCTGTTGATGGTCATTCAGCAATTGTGATTTTGGTGTTTTTGTGAGACGAGGTGAGCTCACGTCATTCTACTCCACCATCTTGTCCTTGCTTCATAATCTCGTAGTATCTAATTTAGAAGGAAAAAATAGGTGGCTTTGCCATGTCTAACTTGTGTTGTTTAGAGTTGGCCCTAGTGTAAAGAAAGACCATCATTCGGGCCTACTCTTTGAGTTTTAAATGTGTGACCAAGGGACGCAGGCTCATGATGTTTGAGGCAGGAGCAAATTTTGATATGCTTGTTTCCCTCAACAGTATAGATCAGAGTCAGTCAGTCAGAAAATATTTACTCCAAAGGGCCAGAGTAAATATTTTAGGCTTGCAAACCACACAGTCTCTGTCACAACTAAACTCTGCCACTAAAGCATGAAAGTAGCCATAGACAATACGTAACAAATGAGCATGCCTGTGTTCAAATAAACTATATGTGAAAAAACAGGCAGCTAGAATTTGGCCCGAAGGCTACAGTTTGCTGAGCCCTGGTGTACATAAATAAATCCAAGGTAGCAAAAGTTTGTTGTCAGTTTTATAAAATTTGCCTGATCTTGAAAAGACATTTTCCTATTTCTAAATGCCATTTTTAGATGATTATCTTTTCTTTCTATTAAGATAAAGCTGTTGTTACCTTACATTTCCTCCAAGTGATGAAAGTGGTAAAGATTTGTTTCTACTTGCTACCTAATCGTACAGTAGTTTGCATTCTATGACTTCAAAATGAAACTTCCCTTCTCTTGACAGATAAACTATATGTGAAGATTGGTGAAAGGGAACATTGATTTCTGAAGTAGCCTGGAGAGGAAAAGCACTGCTCAATATCAAGTGGACAAATGCTTGGTGTTTTCCAAAGACGCTGTTGAAGTAGTCTTTGCTACTGCTTTCCTTGACTCAGTCAAAGCTCTTCATAACATGGGCTGCATGAAATCAAAGCAAACTTTCCCATTTCCCACCACACTCGAGAGTGAGAAGAGGCATGAAAGTGAAGAAAACTTTATGCCTGAAGAGAGACTTCTACTCAGGATGCCTTCTCTAGTCAATGTCAAAGAGGAAGTGAAGGAACCCCTAGGGCCTGAAATTGTGGTCTTTGAATTTGCACACCGCCTGTCCCAGGAAATCTTGAGTGATGCCTTGCAGCAGTGGGCTGGCAACCACCTCAAGTACTATGACATCCCATATATTGAGAGTGAGGGGCCTTGACGCTGTGTGTAGGATGATGACACTTTCTCCAACTGTGGATAAAGTTGGTGCTAGTTTAAATACATGAAACAACAGCAAAAACTGGTGTGAATAAATACAAATAACTCCATCTGGGTGTAAAGAAAAATATTTCGATAGCCATCAAGAGTCTAAGAATACCTAAAATGAAGTGTTTTAAGCAGTTCTACATTAACAGCAATTTCTATCTGCTTGGTCTTGGATTTTAGTCATTAAAGGGTTAAATGTAAGTCCTCTGGTGCCACAGTAATCAGCTGTGTCACACCACTTCCAGAGGCAACAATGCCATCACCAAAGAAATAAGAATTTTTAAAATTCTTTGAAGAATTTAATTTATTTAAAACCTGTGTTTTCAAAATGGTCATCTTAAAGACATTCTTTTAAAATATTTGTCAATTTATACAAAAAAAAAAACAAGATATGAAAAGGATTTTCTTGAAATGCCTGGGCAAGGGAATTGCCTGGGCACTCAAGCCATAGCTGTTAACAGTGGGTCTTGTTTGCCAAAATCTTTTGAGTCAAGGATCCCTCCCCTTCTTAACACAAATGACCAAGCATTAGAAAGCAACCCATGTGGAAGAGGTCTACCGTGAACTATGTCCTTAATAAGATATTTACTTTTGTAGATGAAAAGCATAACCATCACCTTGAACCTCAGCGCCCTAACTAATCACACCTGTTACTGGATGACTCAGGCTTTGCATATAAGCATCTTAACAATATACAATTTACAGAAGTCATGACAATGTTTATTGCATTGAATTAGGTAGCCCAGTGATATTACTATACAAGGAAACAAGCAGGGGAGCTTTTATAAACAGCAATCCAGAAAACTGTAAAGTAATAGAAGCCCTAGTTGGCAAGGTGGAAAGAAGAACCTGGTCTCAGTGCTGCGTGTATGTTAAGCTTTACTGTCTCACAGATGCAAGGGGCTGGTACATGGGCAATCACCATTCAGATTACTGTGGGACCAGATTATGCATAAGAATTTATAGTTATTACAAAAGATCAAATACTCTTCCAAAGGGAATACTCATGTGTATTTTTAATGGTAACAAAGCCCATGGGGCATTTATAGCCATATACTATACTATTTTCATAAATTTGGCTACTTTTTTAGGAAGCCTTTTTTTTTTTTTTTAAGTACTGTTTAAGATCAATGGTAACAGAAAATTCAGGAAAGGGGGAAGAAGGTACTGGAAGATGTAACTTGTAAGAAAATTGAGACTGAATCTTTACAAGTATCTTTTCATCAAGATTTGCCACACATTGAGTTTAACTGGAATAGGAATTATTTAAGCCCATGCAATTAGATCCTTTTATTAAGATACAACAGACCCTTGTCATTGAAATCTAAAGAAAGGCAGAAAAAGGCTTGTGACCTCTAATGACATAAATGTGTATGACCTTATAAGCAGGCAGAATTGCTACCTCTAATTTTAGCAGTTATACTCTGAAACCCACAATCAAATAGACTGAATTCTCCAAGGTAAATTGGCAAAGAAAATTCTTTTGAAGTAAGTGGTGTGCCACTTTTCAGGTGCCTTTGGACAACTGGTCATTTAACTTTCACCTAATCCCAGGGTTTGTACTGTCCTGTTGTACTTACAATCTAGCAACATTACAAAATAGAAAACCTACCACCCCTGTTTATACAAGGATCTGAAGTTACAAGGCTAAGAACAGAAAGTTTCCAAAAAGTGCAAAACATATTTCCAGCTCATGAAGAAAAATTTAGGTTTATGAGTGCTTACACTAATGACTCAGACAAAAGCCTAGATGTTGCCGTTTTTCATTCATTTTATATTTTACATCAGGTACTTTTGCTGCAAGGTCACTGCTGTTTAAAAGATTTAAGTAAGTATATAAGATAATACATATTACGGTGAGAACACAAAGCCATATAAAAGCAGCGCATCACACTAAATTTTTCAGCATACATAGGGACATAGACTAGTAGGCTTTGATTATATCTAAATATTTTGATCTCAGGTTCCTCCTTTGCCCTGGGCCTCTATTTTCTAGGGGTAAAATACAGGCAGGCCTGCCAGACCCGTATCTAAGGGTCTAATCTCTGTTGCCACCCTCTCTGATACTATGGCAATAGGGTTTTGTCACTGAGCACCACCCCTTTGTCCCTGACTCACTTTAACAGTATAGTATCTTGCGACATACAGACACTTACGGAGACGTATGATGTATAATATGTCAAACCATGGACACGGAACTACAAAGGCTTGCATAATCAGTGAGTTAGTGGATAAACCAAGTTGGGGGCAGGCAGGAAAGAGCTGGATCAACAAATATACTGCGTATGATTGTTATCAAGATATAGTTTGGCCTAGATGACAAGATAAATGAGAACATCTTTGATACGATAATTCAACTTCTTACATACCTTCATCTTTAAATATTGGATTTACTTCATTTTGAAGGTCTTTCATGAACAAAGAGTAGAAGGGCTGCTTGAGAAGGAAGGAGAACAGAAGACTGAAAGAATTATTAGCTACTGGAATGGGAAACATTTGTTCCAACTTAGATCACAAACACAGAAGAAATAAGAATAGTGGCCAAATTATAAGGGAAAAGAAAATGGGGAAAAGAGGGCCCAAGAAACAACACTCACGTCAGGCTCCAAAAACAAGTTTCCAGTGTTTTCATCTGAGGGGAAGGACACAGTAGCCAAGTTCCGTTCCGTTCTTTACCACGCTCACATGTGCCCAACCACTGAATCTTCTCCCTCAAGAACATCCAGTAGAGGGGCAGATGAGTGCCACCAGCATGACAAAGAACCTGCAGGGGGCAACTCTGGAAGCAGCAGATTAGCAGAGAGAAATGTGCTGATTCCTCATTTAAGAAAACTCACATAACCCCACACATGTGCTTCACTGCTCCCTTCCCAGTTCAGTGTCTTTTGAAAGCTAGTTATTACCTTTCAGTCACAGGCCTTTGACCTGACAGTTCTCCACTTTCCATTGCCTTATCAGTTCTTTGCAAACTACCTATGGTTATTAGCACTTAAAGCACAATTTTGAAGGGGATAAAAATTATCTTAGTCCCAAAGGAATCATTTGTGTCAAACTGCCTTATAAGTATTAAAAAGAGACATGTTGAATGAAGTAGATGACACTCATATATCTTACTCAGTATCACTGGCATTGTATGAGATGGGGGAACTATACTTTTGTAATTATATAGTTTGAGAAATCAAAAGTTAGAGACAAATTATAAATAATGTCAAGGAACAGTAATTTAAAAACAAAGTTCTAACAAATAAATTGTTTGCTTAATCATAATGCCCCCATCCTGTATTTGTGTGACCAAACTGGACATGTCTTCCTTGGAGCAGTGGGCACAGGCTCAGATGTATTCCCTACATCTTACTTGGCAAAACACAACTTTTGTTAGCAAATCTCTTCACTGTAAGACTTAGCTATGAAATGGTATATTTTTTCCCAAATATTTTTGTGAAAACATTTTTCCTAACTGTTCAATAAAAGTCTAGTTGCAATTAACTAGTTATGAGTCCTTATTTAATTGAAGCAAGCAAATGCTTTTCACCATTGTGTGATTTCAAATTTTTTAACATAAAGGACTTAACATTTTCTGCATTTCTAGCAAATACAAAGAAAATAAAAGTCCATTTACACAAGTATTTTCTTAGATCATTCACATCCACATTTAGAAGCTTTAAGAATATAAATGTAAACATGTTCATTATCATGGCATCTTTTTTCCAAATATGTTCCTAATTTTAGGGGGAAGAAAAATGCTTCATGTTAAGTATATTGAGAACAGAAAATTTAAAGCAATTCCTTCTGGACTGCAATTTCCTCATCTATGAGAAGGGTGCAGGATATAATCTTTGATGTCTTTTCCGGTTCTGCCTGCTTTTCATTCTTTCACAAAACTAAAGTTCTCTTAGTTTCTGAGGGGTTTGGAATTATGGAAAAATTGTACCAAGCTATAAAGTAAATCATAAGCTGATCTTTAATTTAAAAATAATTCTTACCTAGACATTAATGTTCCAAGTCTGGAACATCCACAGTTGTGTACCTTAAGAAAACTTATTTTGTCAACAGCACCAATTACTGAAGGTACTTCTATTTTGAACAGAAGTCCTCTTGTTTTCAAGTCCTTCTCCTGATTTGAACTGTGTAAGAACAAATTACTGTTATCACACAAAAGTCTGATGTAAATTGCAGAAGGCAGAGTGTCTCTATCTTAGAGATTAGAGTTTTCTAATGCCTCATTCTGCCAGATTAGCAAATACTCTAAACAACAAGAAATAATGCTTTTACTTTCCCCATAGGAAGAGATTCTGGTTAACTTCAGAAAAAGCCAAGGCTGAGTCAATAATACTGGAAAGACAACCTCATAATAAGCTTTCCTCTTTGCCTGAGATTTCTATCATTATAAAAGGAACACTTCAGCTACAGAAACTCAATTATTTTAAAACAGATTTATATATGGAGAAAATTCTATGAAGTGTTAACACAGTATCCAAAAAAATTTCAGTTTTTATTTTTTATAACCTATACATAAGTTTACTTAATCAACATTAAAAACCAATACCCTAAGCCAAAACATAAAGTTCCCATTTCCATTAGATATACTAACTCAAGAATCTAAGACCTTCAAATTTTCCCATCTTTTAAAATAGGGCTGGCAACATTTTTCTGAAAAGGACCAGACAGTAAATATTTTAGGCTTTGCAGGCCTTATAATCTCTACTGCAACTACTCAAAGCAGCCACAGATATGTCAACAGATGAGTAAAGCCATGTTCCCATAAAGTTTTATTTATGGACAATGATATTTGAATTTCATGTAATTTTCACATGCCACACAATACTGGTCTTTGATTTCTTTCTCCAACCATTTAAAAATGCAGAAACCATTCTTAGCTGAGGGATATATGAAAAAAAAAAAAAGGCAGCAGGTTGGCTTTGGCCCATGTGCCATAGTTTGCCAACTCTGCTCCAAAATAATACTTTAAAAATCCAGTCTCTTCAAAATTTCAAATCATTACTTCCCAGAGATTTGAAGTGATTATTCAAAGCT